GCTCTGAACTGAGGAAAAATCACCCTTTGCTGACATTGATGAAAAACATTTTCCTGTTTTACTTCTGGAATCCTTTAGGTAAAGGGTCTGACATCAGATGGTATTTTCAGTTTGCTAGGAAGTGAATTCAATTGTTGTGTATCTAAGGCCTATTAATCTTTTATTAAGGGATGCTCTTGTGCTGGAAATGTTGGAGTAAAACTGGAAGAACAAGCCTTGATTTCCAGGGCCTGAGCACTTGTCCTCATGGCAGACAGGAGGAATCTGACTGAAGCAGTTCCAAGACTGCACATGGAGAACACTTCTTGCCATTTTTGGAAGGAGCATAGGGTAAGTTGGAGTTTTTCAGTTTTGGTCCAACTAGAAGTGAAACCACACATGCTTAATCCTGTCTCACAGCAGGCCTTGTATCTGCTCCCACTGAGCTCTCCAGCAGCTTTAGAAGTAACCAGTTTACTTCTACAGTTTCTGTGAACTTTCACCCATATTGAACACTTATTAAGGGTAATTTCCAGAGGAAAATGCCATTCCGGATAATTTAATGCTACCCTTGTACCCACATAATGCATTTATGCAAAAAGAATGTTCTGCAGACACTGCTCTTTACTCTTCACTTCAGGACTTCATTTAAATGTGGTTTTGAAAGTCACTTTCTTGGTACTCATTTGTTTTCTGGTGGTTGCAGTCAGACCTGTTCCTGCTGTGGTGAATGGGCAGGAGGTGACCTGTACTGACACATCGAACTCATTACTTTAAAAAAACCCCTATGGAATGTGTGTCCCTGCCAGCTGCACACCAGGACCTGTAGGGCACCAACCCATGGTGTCAGCAGCCCCTCTGAACTGAATTAGTCCCTTGATTTGCTTCTCCTAACTTTTTGCCAGCGTTTCTAGCTGAATATTGCAAAGTAGAATCACTGTGAAAAGGCAGGAGGGAGCAGAAACAAGTGCAAGGCTGAAGTGAATGTACTTTGTAACCTCTGCAGGCAGCAAGGGCTGTACTGTGCCTGTGGAAGCATGCCCAGTGCAAACACTGGACACACTTCAAACCACTCCTTGGGAAGGTCCTGCTTTGCTGAAGGACAGAGCAGGTAATTGTGCTGGTAATTGCTGCTGCAGGAATTGAAGGTACAAGTCAGAGCTGTTCTGCACTTGGAGCTGAGTAGCTGGATGGCTGTGGGTTTGCATGTACTGGGTTAGTGTAAAAATACTTGGCTGTTGAGTTCCCTTTACTACATTATATCTATAGTGGTTCTTTCTCCATCAGAAAAAGTAGATACAGGCAACAAAAGAAAGCCATGCACTGTTTGTCCAGCCTCAGCATCCTCATCTCCCCACTGACACTCACTCCACCCTGCTTGCTGTTTTCCCCCTTGGTGTCTTGTCTTTCAGAACCACATCTGAGGTGTTGCTTTCTTTGAGCAAACAGTTTATAGTAACATTAATGTCATTTATCATCTGACCTGATCCCAAGGCTGGGTTTGATGAGGGAGTACCTGGCAGAGGGAGACAGGGAGAAGGGCTGGAGCACAGCCAGTGCAGAGGCACACGGGGTATGTCACTTGTCCCACCTCTGAACTGCTTTGGAGCTCAATTTGCAAACACTGCAGACGTGAGGAGGCTGCAGCAGGAGCAGGGAATGTACAGACACAACCCTAATTCCTAATGCAGCCAATGCTATGGAATGCTGCCCTGGGAAAACACAACCTGAGAATCACACCTGGGTTGCTACAGGGGGAGAGGATTTCAGCAAAGGGGTACTTGGTGTGTGAGCCTGTTCAGCCCTAAATGTATCAACAGTAAGTGTTCAGATAATGCACAATGCCTGGATTAGACATTCAGAGCCAAAGGTGGGCTGTCCCTCTGCTCAAAGCACTCCAGAAGTGTTTAGACTTCACCTGGGCAGGAGAAATGTAGTAACAGCCTTACCACAGTCCAGATCCTCTCACCTCTGCTTAAGCTGCTGCCTCTTGAGTAGCAATGTCCCAGAGTGCTGCCAAAGGCCATCAGCACTGTCACCCAGCCCTAGAGCATGGAAAAACAACCAACTCCCCTGAAAGCTCTGTATTTCCCTGTATTCCCAGCGTCCCAGCCAAGACAAAATGAAGCACTTGCAGGATCCTGCTGGAGGAAGGATTATTAGCCAATTCCCTCCAAAGGAACAGTGAAGAAAGGGAAGTTAAAGATTTTTCTTCAAAACAAACCCATGCCCAGAATGGATGAGTTCTGTGTTGCTGCTGACAAGCATCCTAAGGTGAGACAACTCCATTGCAATTTAAGGCAATAAGGGGGAGGAACAGAAACCCTGCATTAGTGAACTCCCCTAAACAAGCACAGAATGAGCCAGGGGCAAGTTAACAGAAACCAGATAAATAAATAGACACAGCTTCAAAAGGAGAGTGGGATAAGAAAAAGAGAGTAAGGGAAAAGACCTAATCAAAAGAAGAGGAAGGAACAAAAACAGAAACTCCCACAAATGAAAAAAAATGGTGATTCTCACCACTCTGACCATGTGGAGGGGTATGGATATATATCCTGAAAATACAAGTTAGGTTTCACCAGAGTAAAAATCCAAGTGCCAAAATATGACAGGCAAGTAATAAGAACTGTAAGGAGATGGAAATTGAAAGCATAACTACCACAAACATCAGCTATTTTTTCCAAATCCATGTATGGCACTGGAAGGTAATTCTTACCTCAGTCTTCTCAGTCTTCTGGCTCAGTAAAAAGCCCAAATTTTGGACCACGGCATGGTTCCAGAGGGAGTGAATGTAAAGATGATGGCACAGCTCCAAGGGTTGGACCTGCAGGATCATGGCTACTGCAGTCCTCATGTGCTTCAAACAATTGTGTCTGTTACAAGACACGAGACAAAGGAATCAGGTGCTGTACATCAGGCAGGGCTGTCCCTGTGCACCTCTTGGGGAGCTTTGAACAGGATCCCTGTGCACAAATGCTGGATTTCCACAGGCTGCTGCCTTTTTGCAGGCTCCCCACATCCCACCAATCCCTATGGGATGATGCTTGAGGGCTGTGATGAGGTGGGAATCTGCTGTAGTGAGTGGAAAAGACAAGGCTGGACACAGAGAATGAGCATGCAGAGTTGTATCACCACAGCCATCACTGAGGAAGTACAAACCCCCCGTGTTTCCTCACGAAATAACTATCCTTCCATCATGTACCTATTCACTGGAAGCTGTTATTCCTGCTGTTTAACAGGTCACCAGCACTTGTCCTGTAAAACCCCATAATCCAGAAGACAAAGGGTATAATTAGACTATCCCAAAAAATGCAGGTATCTCCTGAAAGCCCATCTGCTCCTCCAGAAGCGAATCACTTTTGTGTACAAAAGGCTTTCTTTTGCTTTAGTTCCCCACCCTCTCACCAGGGTAGATGAATATGTGGGAATGGATGGGTGAGACCAGGGAGAAGCCAATCCATGTCCCTTAACATCATCCAGTTGCTAGTTTGGTTTATCGTACCCTGGCATAACTGTGTGTTAGGTATCAGTGTTCCCCAAAAAGATAAGATGCACATTTAAAAAAAAGTAATTCTAACTAACATTCATTTTTCAAGAAAATGTGTAAAGGGTTTGTATTAACCCAAAGTGCTCAAAATCAGTAGTAGAGGGGGAAATATGACTTCCCTGTCTTAGTGTCTTTCCTCCCTTTAATTCTGCATCCATCAAGTGTTGCAGTCACACCAGTACATTCAGCCCTCTTTTCACAGCGGAAAACTCCCCACCGCTTGGATCTCACAGTTAGCCATTCCCAAGCTCCCAAACGCTGCCTTCCCTTCCATGCAATTCCCAACACTTTATCCACGCTGGGACCCAACGTTTCTCCATAAATCATCTGAAGAGGCACCGAGATAAATTCAAACAAATTCAAACAAGCTCGGCCGAGCGGCTCTTCCTGGCACAGTACCCTGGAGCTGCGGGGACACGGGAGGGGCAGCGCCAGATCCCACTGCCAGATCCCACTGCCAGATCCCACTGCCAGATCTCACTGCCAGATCTCACTGCCAGATCCCACTGCCCAGGGAGCAGCCCCTGGGATGGGGAAGGAGACGGGGACAGGGATGGGGAGAGGAATAGGGATGGCCATGGGGATGGGGCTGTGATGGGGAAGGAGATGGGGACAGGGATGGAGACAGGGATGGGATTGGGCAGGGGCGGGGGACGGGACTGGGATGGTGATAGGGACGGGAATAGGGACTAGGACAGTGATAGGAACAGGGATGGGGATAGGAACAGGGATGTGCGCGGGGATAGGGACTGAGATGGGGATGAGGAAGGAGATGAGGAAGGAAACGGGGACAGAGATGGGGATGAGGAAGGAGATGAGGAAGGAGACGGGGACAGGGATGGAGGCAGGGACGGGATTGGGTTGGGTCCGGGGACGGGACTGAGACGGGGAGAGGGATAGGGACCAGGACAGGGATAAGGGAAGGGGACGGGGACAGGGATGGGTGATGGAGATCGGGGACGGGACAGGGACGGGGATAGGGACAAGGACAGGGATAAAGGACGGGGACAGGGATGGGGATGACTAAGGTGACGGAGCTCGGGGACGGGACAGGGATAAGAGACGGGGACGGGGATGGGGATAGGGACCAGGACAGGGATGGGATGGCCAAGGTGACGGAGCTCGGAGACGGGAAAGGGACAGGGATAAGGGATAGTGACGGGTATGACGGAGCTGAGGGAGCGCGCGGCCGGGCCCGGGCGGCGCGCGCGGGACGCACCAACCGCCGCACGCTGCGCGCGCACGCGCGCGGGGGGACTCGGCGCGCGCCTCTCCCCCCCCCCTCCGTCCCCGCTCGCCCTTGCCCGCCCGGCCCCGCCCCCTCCCCTTCGAACGCGGCTGTTGCCGCTCCCCAGCCAATCCCCGCCCGCCGCCGCCGCCGCCCCGGCCAATGGGCGGGCGGCACGGGGGGTGTGACGCAGGCAGTTTTTTCCTGTGACGCGCAGGTGCGTACGCGGGGCCGGCGCGCGGCGGCGGCGGTCACGTGGTGCGGCCCCGCCGCTGCCAGCGCCGCGCGTCCCGAGCGCGCTCCGGCCGCCGCCGCTCCCCCCGCGCCCCCCGCATGTCGCTGGCGCCGCGCCCCGCGCCCCCACAGCCGCCCGCCGCCGCCCTCCGCCGCAGCCGCCGCCCTTGATGTGGTTCGGGGCCGGGCGGGGGAGAAGATGCCGCCGTCCAAGTCCCGCAAGATCGCGATCCTGGGCTACCGGAGCGTGGGTGAGCGCGGCGCGGGTTTCGCGGCGGGGGTGCGGGCGAGTGCGGCCGCATCGCCCTCCCCCGCGGCGGCGGCGGCGGCGGCGGCAGGTGCAGCGGAGGCAGCGGCGCTTCCCGCCGCCCCGAGCGCGCAGCCGCGGCCCGAGGGAGGGAGCGAGGGAGGCCCCGCCATGGCGGCGCCGCAGAGCTGCGGGCCCGCGGCCGCCGTGCCCTTAATAGGAAGTTTCGCCCCCCGCACTCCCCGAGCGCAGCCCGGCAGAGCGGGATCGGGGGAGCTGCGGAGAGGGCTCCTTCCCCGCCGGCCCGGCTGTGCTGGGCTCCGGCTCCGCCCAGCGCTCCATACGGAGCGAGCCCGGAGAAGGGCAGCGGAGCTGGAGCGCGTGTCCGGTGAGGAGCGGCCGGGGCAGCTCAGCCCGGAGGAAAGGAGGCTCAGAGGGGCCTCGTCGCTCTCCACAAGTCCCTGACAGGAGGGTGCAGCCAGGTGCGAGTGGGCTCTGCTCCCCGACAACCAGCGATAGGACATGAGGACATGGTCTTCAGCTGTGCCGGGGGAGGTTTGGGTTGGACGCCAGGGAGAATTGATTGTCAGAAAGAGTGATCGGACACTGGAATGGGCAGCCCGGGGAGGTGGTGGAGCCGCCGTCCCTGGAGCTGTTTAAGCAGACTGGACATGGCACTCAGTGCTGAGGTTGACACGCTGATGTTGGGTATCAGAGCACTTTCCGAGCCTCGGTGGTTGTGTGCTTTAGAACCAGTTTGAAGTGCTGGGGAGGCCAGGCGGGTCTGTTGCCCGTTCTGCCCCCGTGGAGGTGTCGGTGCGGCGGCAGCGCAGCCGCTGTTCCCGAGGGGCCGCTCCGGGCTGGGACAATCCCGCTCGGGCTCATCCGCTGGGACGAACTTCCTGGAAGCGTCCAGCACGAGTCTGCAGCAGCTGATAGAGGGTTTTGCTCATAGCAAAAGGTGTGATCCTGCATTCGCTGTCTTTGATGGAGAACGGTTTCAGATGTTTCAGCATGCGGGTTCTTGAAGCAGGAGGGGAATAAGCTGTAGTACAGGCGGTGCTAATCGATCAAACTTAAAAGCATAGATCGATGTGGAAGATAATGTGTGGTTGGGGGAAAAAAAAGATGTTACAGAGAGATACTACTCTGATATAGATGAGGTTTTTACATTGAAAGCAGTGACTATATCAGTAGTTTGTCTTACTTGACATACAGCATAAAGAACCCTTTAAAAAAGCTTTTTTTTAATATTAAAAAAGGCCTAAATAAGGAGAGCTTTTTCTTGCATTTTGTGCATAGCTGCGGCCAGGTTAGTGTTAAAGGGATTGATGAATTTGTCCAGTCCATAAACAGAACAGTGTGTAGTAGATTGATCAGTTTGCACAGTCCGTATGACATCACTTGTTGCAGTGTGTTCATTGTCTTGTGTGTTATGTTTCCTTCTTTGAGCACTGGTGGGAGCAAAGCAATGGGCAGTGTAAGTGGGAAGGGGGAATGCTTGAAATTCTGTCCTTTGGAAGTCTGTGGTGGGGACTGGTTGTACTGTTGAGCTTTGGTCCTTCATCTGTTGATGCTGACAAGCAGCAGTCAGGAAATCAGATATTATAGAGTGTAGGACCAGCTGAGGAGAAACAGAGAAGTAGTATAATGTTAGTTTGGTTCGTGATGTGAGAAGTAGTACTCGTGGAAAGGATGACCAAAATGTTACCTAACTGTTAAGACCTGCTGCTGAACTTCTTTAACTAGATTTTCTGGGACTAGTGTGGAATTGGGCTTGATAGGACAAGACCAATTTTATTAGGAGAACTACAAGTTGTAGGAGCATAGAGTTAAGAGTGGGTGAAAAAATCTGGTTTACTGGAATTTTCCTTTCATCATCATTAAATTTCTCAGCAAATACTTAGGTAGAAGTTCAAGCAGTAGAAATGGGCTTTTGGGGTCCTACTTCCATCTTGTAAAGCTGTTAGAAAAGCAGGAAGGTTAATCTGTGAGATATAAACTGTCCTCTGCTTCCCCAAATGTGCCTCCTAAAGTGTAGTAGGATGGGGACTGAGACTTCAGGGAAACTTTTGTTTAAGTCTTGCTTTGTATTATGATGGTGAGGATATCACTTGAACCCTGGGTAAGAAAGGATATTATCTCATTTTAAGTCAAGTGTTTGGGTGGTAGAAAAGGAAGTACGTTTCTTTTGGGGGAAATGCTGCATTGTATAGAGGTAATGCTCATTAAAGTGGGGAATAATTCCAGAATCTGAAGGATTGGAAGGAAATGCTTTCTACATTTCCTTTTGTAATTAGAGAGCGACATTGTTTTGCTATTAACATTAATCTTGACCCTGGAATTAGGGAGGTTAACTTTGGTGAGTTGTAAAATGTTTATAGTTTCATAGGTTGACCCTAAATGCTTAGGTGACCTGCTCTGGGAAGTTGGATGTTCCTCCTGTAACTACAGCGTTTGGGATGAAGGTGTCATAAAATGAGGAGCTCTTTTTCCCATGTCTCTCTCAGTTAGGTGCTGAAATAACCAGGTTTTGATGATATATGTCAAGCAGTGAGCTTCTCCCTACAGCTGTTGATTCAACAATGCCGTGGGTCTCTCAGGTTACAAGTGTGTGCAGTGAAGGGTGGGCACGCCCTCCCTGGGGATTTGTGAAACAGGGTCTGCAAATTGTACTGGATTCGTGCTAAGGCCTTGTTTATTTTACTTACATTAAATTTTAATCTTATCCCAGTGCTGTTGTCAGGTAAACTAGATGTTGGGAGTGGTATTCTGGTATAATAGTGCTCAGAATAGAAAATTCAGGAGTCTGCTTGTTTGAATACACTCCCTCTATCTTTCAACACCACTATCAAGCCTTTCATATGTGAAACTCTTATTCTTTGCTGATGGGAGAGATCACAGTGGAAACCTCATGAATTCCCAGGTAGTCATATGTTCTGAGATGCAGACAGAGTATTTGCCAGGAGCTTCTGGAGTTGTTTTTTGGTGAAGAAGACTGACTATCTGTGGATACAGCATGCAGGTTGTGGCATGATGTGAGACAAAATCACGCAAGAATGTCTCTGTTGGGTTTTGTTCAGGCTTAAATTGGTCTAAGAAAGTTAAATTCCATTATGTAAGTGTGCTTGTCTCAGCAAGGCTCCGAGTCAAAATCAGATGGATTTCATCCCAAGATCTGAGTTTCGCAGCAGAGGAACTTGACTTCCATTACTGTTAGTTGGGAAGTGACCAAAGTGGATCAGCTGTTTGAGATTTGATTCTGGAAGAAATCTGTCTTGTGCATGATGAAGCATAAAATTTTATAAAGTTACTGCCTTCACTAAAAAGAATCTTCGTAATTGTATTTTGGTCATAACTTAATATCCCAAATATAATTGGAAATAATGGATTTGCTTGGAAATAAATCAAGCAGGATTTTAGATTTTCTGAATCTTTTCAAAGTAACGGCCTCTCTAAAAAGCAGGCTAGAGTTGCCAAAAATGCTTTGTGCTCAGTTTCATTCACTTTCTGCTTACAGAAAGATGTGCAAATTCAGGTCACAAATGCCTGTAGGAAAGAAGAAATTTCTTAGATCATCTTGTAAAGTACCTTATTATTTGGATTCTCTGTATTATATTGAACGGATGGATTTAAGATAAGCAGGAAGGTATTGTTTGGATCAGCTGCTTCAGCTGTAGGTCTTTGTCTCAGCCTGATTTCTTTTCTGCTGTTTGTATAAGTTGTGCTGCTGGTTTTACGAATGTACTTGCAGAAACAGGAATTCTCTTTCTGAATTTTACATGTTTGGACTGGTCATCTGAAAATGCTGTCCTGGGCAGTTTATGGCTCTGAGGGGAAAATCCAGTTAATAATAGGGAACTTACCCATTTTGTTCCCCGGACAAATAAATCAACTTCTTTTGTGTGCGTAGGTGTAGAGCAGACCATGCTGCAGGCAGAAGTAGTCATGGTCTGACTGCGGCATGCAGGTATCAAAAAAAAAAATGGTGATGGAGCAAAATGACCATTCAGGGTTAGATTTGTATGGAAAGGCTTCCAGGTGATTGTGTTCAGCTAAAAAAATGCCTCTTGAAAAGCAAGAAGGGGCAGAAGAAGCAGTAACTTCAATATGGACCTGTAAATAGTAAAGGTAATTGTTATGGCAGAACGTAGTTTGAAATCACGAGTTGTTTGAATATTAGGAGGCTTGCAGTGTAAAATGGAGCTGAGGCTTTGCTGTTGGTGTGTGAAAGATGGCATCTGCTCGCACAGCAGCGATCCGCCCCGAGCAGCGATCCCTCTGGGATTGGATGGGGGAAGCGGTAATTTTAGCAGGCGATAAATTGCCCGTGTAAATGTCAACAGAGGAGGAACGGAGGAATTACCGCTGCTGTAATTTGGTTTACACAGTCGGCTGTGTCCGCAGCATGGGAAAGGCTGAGATTTAGCAGGAAAGTCGAGCGGTTCGGGAGGCAGATGATACGGAAGGTTTGCGGAAGGTTTGCGTTTCGCTGGCCCTTGGGAAGTGCCAAGATGACTTCCAAGCCCTTCCCTTGCCAGGGCCGCAGTTGGCTCTGCCAGGGTGCTGCAGTGCTGAGAGGAGGAAAGGCTGCAGCTCCCAGGGGAGCGGGATGAGGCTGGAAATGCCAGCTTTAATTGCATTTCGGTGTTGTTAGTGACTGCCATAGCTGCAGCAGCGAGAGTTGCTACAGAGCGTTTGATAGCAGTAGCTGGAAGCACTAGAGGCAGCATGTTCAGCTGTAATATCAAGCCACCATAGGGTTATTTGAGGACACCGCTCGAGGATTAACTCTTAAATTGCCTACTCTGATCTGTCAATGGTAACATTTGCACGTTTTGCTTGTATGTGTGGGGGTGTTTTGGTGTTTGATTACACAACTTGAAGTTAACATCGACCAGAAAAGCCGAATGAAATGTAGATCCTGTAATTTATAAGCTATATAAAGTTGGAGCTCTTCATTTAGATCTACTACGCTGCCTGAAGTGTAGGTTCTGGCTCAGG